GAGAGAGAGAGAGAGAGAGAGAGAGAGAGAGAGAGAGAGAGAGAGAGAGAGAGAGAGATTGACGACACTTGGGATTCAGACTCGACATTGGGACAGAGACGTTGGGGGGACCACTTGGGATTGGTATCAGCCACATTCGGGTTGACGACATTCTCATCTCTTCCCCCTTCTCCTTCGTCTCTTCTCCCTCCTCCTCATCTGTGTATGAGTTAGGCCTGGCACCTTCGTCCTCTGTGCGGCGCCAGGCCATTCACACCGTGTGATGATGATGATGTATGTCCAGTCTGCATCTCGACATTAGTTGGGTCTGATCATTTGTATTCAAGCCTTCCGCTGTGCTATCCTGCTGTATCTGTGAGAGGTCGGTTTCTTGGTTCTGGTCTGTACCATCTTGGTATGCGACAGTTTGGTATCGGAGCAGACCTCTCGAAAGAGGATCTGCCCAATCAAGAAGCCAACGTGATTGATTGATTGATTGATTGATTGATTGATTGATTGATTGATTGATCAATGAAGTAGGGATTCGTCAAATTTCGGCAATTTTTTTTTTTTCTGTTCTACTCAAGTTATCACCCTGATTAGTGGTAGTTAACACTAACCCCGGATTTGCGCTAATCACGAATTAGCACTCTCGGAAATTCCGAATTTTTTGGCATTCCATGAAATCCGCGAAATCTGCAAATTTCGGAACCCCGAAAATTTGGAAATTTGAAAATTTGGCATTCTGCGAATTCCGCGAATTTTGGAAGTCCCGAAAAATCTGGACATTCTGCGAATTTCGTGGAAACCGTGTCTAAGCGGACTTAAGAGTTAGGAATTACGTTACGACAGATTTCGTTTTTCAAAAATCGTGAATTTTTTTTAGTAAGTTATTTTGTATTTTTTTTTCGGAAATTGAAGTAAATTATTCTGCGATTTTCAACGTGGAATTCTTGTTACGAATGTCGTCTTCTGAAAATCGGAATAATTCCGAGAAATTCTTTTCTGAAAATTTCCACGAATGTTGCAAACCTTTTCTGATACCGTTAACGAGCGAGATTCATTTTTTTTAGATTAACAAACGATTGTTACCCTTTTTGCTGCTCGTTATCTGATAAATGCCGCCCTAATTCTCAAATCCACAGATTTCAAAAAAAAAAAAAAGAGAGCTCTTTTCTTTTTTGTTCATTTTTTCTGTTGATTAGTACCCGGGATTGGAATTTGCAGTCCGGTGTTTGCCTGTCTGCGTGTTTCTTCCCACCCCTCTTCGTACTACGTCAGCAAGTGCCACGTCAGCCACTGCCACATCAGCAGGTGCCACATCAGCAAGTGCCTCGTCAGCAAGTGCCATCTCAGCAAGTGTCATGTCAGCAGGTGCCACATCAGCAATGTGCCATGTCATCAGGTGCCACATCAGCAACATGCCACGTCAGCTAGTGCCGCGTCAGCCAACATCGTACAGCTAACCGCAGCTTATGCTCCGACGCAGCAAACACATTGCAGCACGAGAATGGCAGGCAGCCGCAGCAGAACAGCAGCTACCCCTGCCCCTCCTCTCTGACATGGAGTCACAAGGCAACCCCACGGTGGACAACGCCGCATCTGGCAGTCCATGCGAGGGATGCATTATGAACCCCCTGGTCCCACAGGTCCAGCAGGTGAGTTCCACTGCGACACCTGCGGGAGCCCTTGACGCTGCGCCAGTCAGGCAGCGGGGTGAGACCATGACGGCCTTCATGGCCCTCCTGGCCACCTACATGCAACAGGTACACGAGGAACAGCGACGCGAGGCGGCAGCCGAAGCTGCACGCCTCAATGCCATTGCACGCGATGCGGAGCAACGGCGCCAGCAGCACGCTGAAGCAGCTGCCAACCGTTACAAAGCTCGACAAGATGCCGCATCCGTCCTCATGCAGTAGGAAGCCGCTCATACCGCCGCACTCCAAGCATGGAATGTTGATCCGGCGGAGACGACGAAACCAACTGCGGAGGAACAAACCAAGTCAGCCCTCGCCAACATGATGCACCAAGTCATCCTCAGTTGTAACTAGCAACAAGTGGAGTTGGCCCGACAAGCACATGTCATCTCCGGTTCTAAGGAGATTCTCAAGAGTCTCTACGCCCGCCTTGACACACTGGAGAAGGATGACGTGCCGCACTGACACACGTCATCCTCAAGTACCGATCCATCGATCCGCAAGCTGGAAGGACGAATGGATCACCTGGTAGCACTCGTCGGAAATTTGAACAGTTTCCAACGACCGGTGACCATCAGCCAGCAAATAGCCGCCCTACAAGCGGACCTGTGTCAGCTGCAGCAGCAACCAACCGGGACCTGCAACAGCATGACGTCCAAACATTACAAGATGCGGAAGTTCAGCATCGAAAAGTTCGATGACTACAACAAGGCGGACCCCATCAGTTGGTGGCAAGGCTTCACCAACGAGCTCTCCATTCACTCGGTCCCGCCAGAATCGAAGGTCTCAGCTCTTTACCTTTGCAGTACCGGTGCCAGCCAAGTGTGGCTCAACCACCTGGCACAAACCGAAGGCGTCGAGGTCGCGAAGCTCTACACCAAGATCACTTGGGAAGCCATGACCGAGAAGTGGTGGAAACGCTTCATCGTCGACGACTCTCAAGGCAAAGGCGTGAACCGGATCTTCAGCATGCACCAAGGCAGCTATCACACTCGCGAATGGCTAAACGAGTGGCATAAACTTGTGACGATTCCGAACTTGGATATACCATTCGTGCATCTTCGTCAAAAATTCTTCCAGCGGTCGGTCGACGCATATGAGCACGGCCCTTGGGGAGCGCAGCTTGTACACGGACTTTGACCAGATCGTGGACAAGGCGCGCAAAGTAATCCAACCAAATCGGTGGGCCGTCAATGAGTTGCGAAGCCAACCGAATTTTGTGGAGAAGGGCAAAGGCCCGCAGCCGCAGCAAGTCGCTGTTGTCCAATGCGATGGACAAGAGGACGACCAGGCGCTGACTCACGAGTCTATTGAAGGAGACGGAGTCAATGCTCTTCCTCCACGACGCAACAACAAGAAGAAAAAGGCGAAATCCGCGTCCGCAACAGAAGCCGGAGAGCCGAACGAGCCGTGGAAAAAGTGCCTCACGGAGCAGCAATACAAGCTCCGCCAGAAGTGGAATTGTTGCTATTGGTGCAATAGCACCAATCACACGACGTCGCAATGCCCTGACAAAGGCAAAGAAGACGTTCGTCCATGACAAAGCTCGGGAAACTGAGCTCCGCGGGAAGTGAGATGACTCCACTTCCTACTCCGTCGGACACGGTTGCCTTACTAGCAACCTCCTCCACGTCCAGGGAACATGCGTATGTCGCAAGTCTTCACAAAAGTTACGAAGACTATGCTGTCCAGCTGGTCCGTCCGTTGGACCAACCTCTCCACGCGCAAGAGTTATATGAGTGCGCGACTTCATCATCATCGCCAAGTGATCCCGCATCCTCGCCAACACTACTCGGGGACTCGTTAGTATGGTCTAGACTTGAGGACCTCGACCCATTGATGCGGAGGACTTCCAATGGATGCCTCTTCCCTCGTCTGGGTCCTTGCCGAAGCCGCATTGCAACGCCTTAATGGCAGAACTGCGCAACTACTTGCACGCTGCAGTACCGACTCCGGTGATGGAAGACGAAGTAGCGGTTGTTGACCTTCACGAGTACATTGCGAAGATTGACTGTGAGTACACCACACAACGGTACGACAACATAGACGCACCGTTACTCTACGTCCGCATTCAGATCTGGAAGGCGACCTTAGCGCCTTGATCGATTGTGGAGCTACTCGCAACTACATAAGCCAAAACTTCATGACGCGCGCCGGCCTTGGGCCGCGCGCATTCAGATCGGGAAGGCGACCTGCAACGCCTTGATCGATTGTGGAGCTACTTGCAACTACATAAGCCAAGACTTCATGACGCGCGCCGACCTTGGGCTGCGCGTTCGAAGGAAATCGCAGCCCACACAAGTCACGTTGGTCGATGACCGTACATAAGTTCATTGACCGGTGTGTTGACTCCGTCCCCGTGTACTTCGCCCCTCATGCACACGAGGCCGTGTCCTTTGACATATTAGACAAAAAGGTCGACATGATTTTGGGCATGTCGTGGCTGCACAGTGAGGACCACCCGGTGAACTTGTACTTCCGCACCGTTCACATTCGTGACGGGAACGGGGTACTTGTTCCATGTACAGTCACCCCACCTCACCCTTCGATTGGTTGTCACGTGGTCTCCGCGGCAAGCATTCGCAACTCCATCGCACAAAACGACGTGGAGGAAATGGACATTTGCTTCTTGCACGCCTCCTTCCTCCGGACGAGCCAGCGACCGAACATCCACCGGATCCTCGCATTGTACAACTTCTTGACTCCTACGGCGACGTCTTTGAAGCCCCCGTCGGAATTGTACCGAATCGGCCAATTTGTCACGAGATCATCCTCGAAGACGGGGTCGTACCTCCGTGCGGATGTCTCTACGCATGAGCGAGGAGGAACGTGAAGTGCTACGAATGCAACTCGATGACCTCATTGACAAGGGTTGGATTCGCCCTAGCTGCTGGCCCTACGGTGCACCCATTCTCTTCGTTCAGAAGAAGAACAAGGAGCTGCGCTTATGCATTGACTATCGTAAGCTTAATGCTCAAACAATTAAGAATGTCGGCCCGCTCCCACGCAACGACGATCTTCTCGAATGCTTGGGCGGCGCCAAGTACTTCTCCAAGTTGGACCTCAAGGGCGGTTACCACCAGCTCGAGGTCCATCCAAGAGATCGCTACAAAACCGCGTTCAAGACACGGTATGGGCACTTCGAGTGGGTTGTAATGCCTTTTGGCCTCACGAATGCCCCGACCACCTTCCAAGCGGCAATGACAACGGAGTTTCGCAACATGTTGGACCGGTTCTTGCTCATCTAGCTCGATGACATCTTGGTGTATAGTCGGACTTTGGACGAGCACATAGTGCATCTACATGCCGTTTTGGACAGGCTACGTACGGCCAAGTACAAGGCCAATTGAGCCAAGTGCGAATTCGTGCAGCAAGAGCTCGAGTACTTGGCCCACTTTGTGATGCCGCAAGGCATCCGTCCGCTCGCGGACAAGATCAAGGCCATCCAAGATTGGCCGGAACCGACCAACACCACGGAAGTCCGCTCTTTTATGGGATTGGCCGGGTACTACCAACGCTTCGTCGGAGGATACGCACGGATCGCCGCGCCCTTGTCAAGATTGCAGTGTCCAAAGGTGCCCTTCCAGTTCACCGACAAAGTCCGCAGTTCGTTCGACAAATTGAAGACGGCGTTGCTTCTCGCTTCCATCTTGAGTATCTACTACCCCATCTTGCCTACGAGAGTGGCTATGGACGCTGTCGACTACGGCATGGGTGCAGTTTTGGAACAACACGAGGGAGTAGATTGGCATCCGGTTGAGTATTTCAGCCAAAAGGTGTCTCCCATCAACTCGGTTGATGATGCGCGGAAGGAGTTGCTTGCTTTCGTCACGGTACTCAAGCGTTGGTGACACTTCCTCCTCTGGCGTCGTAGGTTCACTTGGGCTACAAACAATAACCTAGTGACCTACGACAAAATGCAAGACACGATGAGCAACACGGTCACTCGATGAATGTATTTTATCGATCAGCTCGATTTCACACCCAAACACATTTCGGGCCTCTCCAACCGAGCCGGAAGCTCTCTTACGAAGATCAAATCTTTGCGCATTGACTCACCACGCGTTTAGTTTCGCCGATGCCCTTCATCAACATTTGTGCGAGCATACAAGTCCGATCCGGAATACGCCACGCTCTACGAGCAACTATCCTCGGATCACCCGCCGGCCAGCCATTATCACGTCGTCGACGGCTACTGCTTCTTCACTCATGAGGCAAGGACTTACTATGCGTCCCACACGACCGTCGCTTACGGACTCGCCTCCTCGGCGAGTACCACGACTCACGACTCGCCGGCCACTTCGGCATCAACCATACGATCGAAAAATTTAGGCAACGATTCCGGTGGCCCGACCTCATTACCGACGTCACTTGGTATTGCGACTCGTGGGAAGTTTGCTGATGAAGCAAACCCCGCAATCGCAACCCCTACGACGAGTTACGCCCATTGCCTATTCCGTGGGAACCCGGCCTCTCCATTGCTATGGATGTTGTTCTCCCGCGACCGCTTCGGGCACAACGACATTCTCATGGTCGTTGACCGTTTGAGCAAGTAAGCACAATTTCTTCCTTGCAAGTACTATGCCACGGCTCCCGAGCTTGCACGCCTCTTGCACACCGGCTGGATTTGCGGCCACGATGTTCCGGAAGACATCGTCAATGACCATGACACTCGGTTCATGTCGGCATTTTGGACTTCTCTCATGAAAGAGTCCGACACCGAGATAAAACCAAGTTCGGCTCGACATCCACAAACGGACGGGCAGACGGAGCGGGCACAGCAAACCGCTCAAGTGATGCTTCACACACTCATCAGTACGGATCAGAAGGATTGGATGGACCGCCTCCCCGACATCGAATTTGACTACAACACTTTGTTCCACCCAGCGCTCGGCGTGACTCCATTCGAGTTGCACCACGGTGGCAGGAAAGGCCGTATCTTCGTTGATCTTCCATTTCCAAGGACTGCCGACATTGACCCCGGTTGCTCTCCCGCGTCCGTTCGAAAGTATCGGCAATTGCTGTCCAAAGCCCGCACCAACATGCAAAAGGCCCAAGTCCGCATGCAACAACAAGCCAATCGACGTCGAATGCCGTGGCCGATTTGCGCCGGCGACCTTGTTTGTGTCTCCATGGAGGAGTTTGCACTTGAACAAGATGTCCCGTGCAAGCTACTTCCGAAGTGGTTTGGATCATGGACCGTCATATCAGCCACAAGTGATGAGCTCGATCGAGGCCCTTCTTTTCTTATCGACATTCCGCCGCATCTACCGGTCCACCCGGTCTTCCACGTCTCCAAGCTGGCCACGTACACACCAGCCGAGAGCGACGACTTCTCGGGCCGACGATTGCAGGACCCTCCTATGGATGGTCATGGAAGTCAATCGCGTCATCACTCATCGCAAGCACGACAACAAGCCAATGCAGTATAAGGTCACATTCAAGTGGTGCGACCGCGACGATGCGCGATGGATTTCACGGGCAGCCTTGCAAGCCTTCACACCGCTTATCTACGGTGAATATGAGAAGAAACGGCTAGCCACGGAAGCTGCAACGCCTGGCCCTCCCACTCGGACTTCGGTCCCTCCCTCCAACAGACAGCTTCGCCCTCGCAGGTAAGCTCGGTCTTTCAAGGAGGGGGGAGTGTGGCATACTCAGCTCCACACGGGCTCAGCAGGGCCCGGCCAGGTAGGCTAGGGGTCCGCAGAGGTAGGGTCTATGTCGTTTTGACCCTCAGTAAGGTCCGGAGGGTCGGTAGGCTGGTTTTAGGCTTGAGTAGGACCGGTACCAGTTGAGAGGCCCTGTAGGCCTCGTTTTGGTTACAGGCCCTGACATGCGTTTTGGCGCCAAGGCCCTGACTTTGAGGCCGCGCCGTTTCGGTAGGCGCTGGAGGCCCAGCCTTGGTTTGGGTGCCAAACTTTCGAGGCCCAGCCTCAGTTTGGGTGCCAGGACTTAGCCACTGAGGCCGACCCAGCGCTATATAGATGGGTCCAGCCTCAGTTCGGGCATTTAGTAGAGGATCGAGGTGAGGCATACTTCGGATGACGGCAATGCAGCAGTAGTCAACGATACGACTAGTTTTTCAGCGTTGGGCGCTGATAGAGTATAGTAGCGCAGGGAGGGGGAGATGGTGATGGCAACCAGGGGACTTGCCTGAGACTCACCTGCTCCAGCTTCGTCTTCAGCACGTCCGCACCTGCATCAAGGCACCACCTTTCGCAGGTCAGTATATACACACACACACACACACACACACACACACACACACACACACACACACACACACACACAGAGAGAGAGAGAGAGAGAGAGAGAGAG